CGTATGAAAACATAGCACAAAAATAAATTTAGGTGAAGTGGTGAAATCTCACCTGTTTTTTCACCTCTTTTTTCACCCGTTGAATTCATTACTTTATAACTCTCTTCCTTGGTTTCTTTTTAGTTGCTTTCTTCACGTCTGTCTCCAACTTGACTGTCTTTCTTCTTCGTCCATAATGATACCAATTACTTCCACCAGTCAATGGGTCAAATGGTCGTTCATAAGGGTTTCCATACATTCCATAGGGACCATACGGAAGAACTACTGGTGGAGAAGAAACATTTTCTTTAGTTCCATCGACTCTATTTAAATGCATTGTTTCACCTTTCATCTGGTCATTAAAGTCTTTTGCATGTTTTGCAAACTCATCGTCCTTTCCTAAAGCATTTTCTGACTCAGTCGCAACCAAATTGGATGCTTTATTTATGAGCCCTATTTTATTTAATCTTAACTTCTTTGCAACCCAGCCTCCAATCTTTCCTTTATTTGCATCTAATGTCTTCGAAACCCTTCCTCCACTCATTTTATTTACTGCGTCATAAGCTCCAAGTGCTTTTGCTCCAAATGCTAATGCTTTTGTTCCCATTGCGCCTAAAGCTGCCCAAGCTACCATTTACACCATATTAAAATCATCTCTCTTCAATATTATCTCATAAAAGTTCTCGTTACTGGAGAAAGTCAATGAAACATAAACATTCTCACGGGCTTCGCCCTCACCGCTTTGCGGTCTATCTAACTTCTTTCTTATCTCATCTATACGCTTCAAAATGTCTGAACAATTGCTAACATCTTCTACAACAGTTATTTCATCATGAACGACCTTTAAGAACAAGCTCATTTAATATGCAATTAAAATCATCTCAATAATGAGTCCATCCTTTCCGTCTTTGGGTAGCACAACATCTTTCATTGAAGAAGGTTCGACAAGTCTTATATTAAACTTACTGACAAAGTTTGTTATACTATAATGCTTCGGCGGCGAATACATATAGTTTGAAAGACATAATATAGATTCTTCAGCAAATTCACTTATACTGGATTTTATAACAATGTTCTCACGAGACCAAATACCACCAATTGACAATCTTGTAAGCAATCCTGCTGAACCTTCTACTGTAAACGTCGATGGTAACATTCCACGAAGGTCATCTATTGACATCGTTGAGTCACTGAATTTAAATATTTTCTTAAAGCAATCGTCATTATCTAACCATGCAATAGCTTTGAAGTTTTCATTCGAATATACATCTGCTTCATTAAATGTAAAACCTGACTTCTTTGCAGAGACGACTTTAAAATCTATTGCATTTGTTTCAAAATTATACGCTATGGTAACTTCTGAAGGTAATGGGTGTCCTTCTGCAGTAAGTTGTTCTCTCACTACCGTTTGAAGCTTTGTGTTAAAAACTTTCATGTCATCTCCTGTGTCTAGGTTCACATACACAGCAATAGGAAAACTATCTTGCTTCTTTGTCTCATCATTATATCTCAAAACATTAAAGTTCTTCAATAATATTGTTCTTCCTGCTGGAATACTTCGAACCTGTCTGATTTCAATAGCTTTCTCACCTCCTACATACTCTACCCAGTGTCTTGGATATTCATAAGTATACTGACTTTCTTGAATTTTGGTTGGTTTCATCATAACGTGTTCATAGTATATCTTTATACTCTTGTCAGTTAGACTCGGTGCTATGTTCTGAATATTTCTGACTTGCATTTTTAATGGAGATAAAATGAAGCATTTAATACATGATGTAGATGAAGACATGAATGAAAGCAGTGAAAAGCTCAACAGTTCTCTCATTCTTCCTTTCAGTAAGGACTATGAGTTCTGTTCAAATGGTGTTTATTTCTATTGTGGAAAGATGGGGTCAGGTAAGACATTTAACCTCATTCGTCATATACTCATAACAGAGCGTTTAGGTCAAGATTCATATTATGACCAAATCATTATATCAGCAACTTCAGACTCTATGGATTCAACAGCGAAAACATTTATGTCAAAAGTTCAAGCCTCTGTCGTTAAAGTTCCAGACAGTGAACTCATTGAATTTCTTCAACGTTACATTCGACGTAAGAGGAAATATTATACCATCGTTGAATTTATACAGTCAGGAATGCAAAAGACTTCTGAGGAGATGGAAAGAATTATTGACAAACACCACTTACGTCAGTACTCAGGAGTTTACGATATGAAACGACTTACAAACTACATTCTGTCAAAACTTTCAAAATACCCCTTCAAAAAGTATCCTTCAAACACTTTATTAGTTTGTGACGACTTCGCCGGAAAAGGTTTAGTGTCAAAGCCTGACTCACCATTAGCTAACATCATTACTAAAGTCAGACATTACCACTTAACTGTAGCAATACTTATGCAAACATGGAGGTTTTTAGCTTTAAACATAAAACGTCTCATAACTGACTTCGTTATCTTTCAAGGTTTCTCACGTTATGATATTGAACTCATTTGGAAACAGTCAGGTATAACATTACCTTTTGAAGAAATTTGGGAAGCATATAAGTCTCTCATCTCTCCTCGTTCATACCTTGAGATTCATATCATGACTAATACCATTAAAGTCAAAAATATTCCATGGGAACGACCAACATTGTTTTAAAGTTTAACCTTCAATTGACTGATGGTAAACAAATTCCATGCATCTCTGTCGCCATTTCTGTTAATATTTTGCTGTCATTCATATCATCCACTTCCCCATCCGTTAGCTTTTGAGGATATGCGTTAGAATAGCTGTTCTTAAATGAAGGCTTTTCACCTTTTAGCGCATAAACTCTATAACTTTCTGCATACTTTATGTTTGAACCTCCTGAGCCATCATTGACATAAATTTTTATAGGCTTCCACCCTTTGTTCATGTTCCTGCTTCTTCCCTTAGCTCTTTTGTTCAGTAGTTCTACATCTTTATACACAGCACCTGTCTCAGTGAATTCAACAATATTTTCATTCGTTAGCTTTACATTCAAACCCTTGTCGAGTATATTGTTCATTTCATACATATAAAAGGTTTTTATTCTATATGAAATGAGAAGCAAATCCATCTTAGCTGGTGCCGTTAATGTTCCAATTGAACCAACATCAAATGTTGACTCACGAACGACAAACAATATTGTCATAAAGAACTATAGTTCAGAGTTTTGAAAGAAAAAGAACCAGAGCTGAAATCCGTGAATTTAAACACAGCTTCAAACGCTAACGCTACATCAGATGTTAAGTTAGAGTATCCACCACTGGACCAAATTCTTTCAAGAGAAGCCAACGACAACCCTTACACAAATGTTCAAACAAATCCTTCAGATAACGTAGACCATTACCTTCTTCAGTTATATCAAACTATCTTACTCAAAGACGATAAGAAGCTTTTGATAAATCTTATAAGTAAGAACCAAATAATTCTAACAAAGGAGGACCTTGAAAATGTTATATCACGAATAACAGGGAAACAATGTGTCATTGACTATCTCGACCCTGAAATCGAATGCTGTGGTCAAACGCCACCATTCATGAAAATAGGTAACATCCGCATCATTGAAATACCAGGTACTCCAGGAGTTGAGTTTAAGTATAAATATTCGAACGAGTATACAAAACTTTCAACAGAATATAAATTATGTTTGAAATATGTTTTAGTAAATTAAAGCAGTCAGGAGGGCTCTTTGAGCCCATCTTGGCGCTTTGCACCGTCAGTCAAAAAAAAATTTCAAGTTAGCAATTTGTAATATCTATCCAAAACTTCTTCAACAGTATCGAACTCATCTTCATAATGCAAACCTAATCTTATTGACTTGGTGCAGTTCTCACTAACACAATATAGCGCTTTGCGCTCGGCGCCTTTGACGCCTTTTTCTGTTCTCTTGACTGACATAACTAACTCATTTGTTTCATCAAACAGCAACAACCAAAGTTCATGACCTAATACATAACATTCATACTTTATATTTTTAGCTCTGAGTTCTCTTGTAAGCTGTTGCATTTAATATTTTCTAAAAAGTCTACTTCAACAGTCATTCGCACTGGTGCCTTCAGTTCTACAGGCTCTCCTTGAAAGTCAACAAGTCTGAATTGCATGTCTTTCAAATTATGAGGACTAATGCGAACCCATTTACCTAAATGAGTTGCTATGACAGGAACGTTTGGAATGAACATTGAATTGACTGCATAACAGAAGGATTTATATTCTACTGAACCTTTACTATTAACTCCTGAAATACCTGTGACATTAGCTATTTTTGACTCAATGTATAAACAATTGCCATAACATACGTATGGAACAGATTTCATCTCAATCGTTTTGTCAACACTTTTCAAAGGAAATGTCATATGGTATGCACCCAAAAGAAGTTGTACTCTATGACTCATTCGTGTTATCTTAAACTCCTTCACATAACTGAACTTCAAAACTCCTGCAATAAGTTTAACATTCATTAAGTTTTCTTCGTTCTCCTTGTTTATTGTAGTATTTATGAGAGCATTTAACACTCCAGCTAATGTTTCCATCTTATATTCTACATTATTGTGAAATCTTATTCATGCTTCTTTCCATCTATTTCAAGCTCCATGAAATCTGTTTCATCTGTTATAACGAATGAAGCGATAGTATTGAAGTCAACCATTCTGAATGCAAGCGCCTCATTCTGTAGACCTAAGTTTGTTTGTAGCTTTACTGTCCCGTATTCGTTTGGGTCTGTACTTTGCAAATAGAACAACATTTTATTCTCATTAAAATATGAGTATAGCTGCATATGCGTATGAAGCTGACAGAGCTAAACGTTTATATTTTGGTCAATACTCTCTCACACTTACTGACAAATATATTGTTATTTCTGATGGAAATACCGAGAAATACATAACATGGAAGGACTATGAAAAGTTTGACCCTATTTTAACTCCATGTACTATGCCATTCATTGTAAATGGTGAAGTTGTCATGAAGAACGACACAACAGTATATAAGTCTGTTCATGAAGCGTTAGAATATATGTTGAATTATAATCCCGAAAGATTTGACCCAAGCACTACACCATGTGCAATGCCTTTTATTAAGGACGGTGAAATCGTAAGAGTTCCGAATTCAACGGTTTACACAGCTGTTCAAAACAGTTTACAAAACATTTTAGCGAATATCTTTAATTCAGAAACTACAGAAATAAAATTACCATATATAACAGATGCTAAAGAAATTAAATCAAAAACGACAACATTATTTACGTCACTTAATGATTTAATGACTTATATCATTAATATTCCTGCACCAACTATAGCATTTGATCCAAACTCGACGGTTTGTAGTGTACCTTTCATAAACGATAACTCATTAATTACTTTAAGGGATTCGACAGTAAATGAATCATTAAAGGCGTCATTAATGAAAATCATTGATTTTAACTCATTCATGAATACATATAATTCATTCATTAATGTTTCATATGCTTCTAAAGAAGGTGAGCCAAAAACTATCGATAAAGCGGTGTATGAAATAAAAGCATCAACGACGAAATTGAATTCGTTAACTTTTGACGGTGATAGTTTCGTTAATGACATAACATCGGGGAAAACAATTTTAACGAAAGAATATTTAAAATCTCATGTTAGTGAGTTCGTTGAAATTGAAAAAGAAGGTGGAATTAAGTTCGATCCACTGAATTTCATTTTCAGCTTAGCGAATGCGGGTGTTAGTTTCGCTGAATGGACAACTATACAGAGTGAAATAAATGCAATATGGACGTTTTTGGGGTCAAAAGCGGGAATGGGTGAGCTTGTAAATGCTGCAAGAACATTAGGTGAAACAGGAAATTTTGTAGATGGTTTTAAAAGACTTGTTTCAAATGTTTTAACAAACACAAAGAAATTATTTAGATATACCGTACATAACGGACGGATTTTCGAACAGATAGCAACAAACCCTCCGGTTATGGCTGCGTTGATGATGGTTAGAGATATAAAACCACGTAACGACGGGAACGAAGAACATGAACAACAGAGCCCAACGGGCTCAGAGCCACATAGTGGCGAGGATACTGGTCGGGTTATTCGAGACATTAAAAACGTGTATCCTGAAGTTATTGATTTATTTAGAGGAGTTAATGATTCAATTTCAAAACATTCTATAACCCTCGATGAAGAGAATAAATTAACAGATTATATATTCGTCATTATTGCAGAATTAATGAAGAGAATAAATGAAAAAGGAATTGGTGATATCATTAATGTCAGCGATGTAATGATGAAAAGAAATTTTGACTCATTATTTACAAAACCGAAAACAGAATATAGTCTTTATGACGTAATTACCGAATTAATGAAAAAGATTAATGATAATAAGAGTTCTGGCGGAAGAGTTGAATTAGAAGTGAATGATGTTAATGAGAAATTAGCCGAAAAAGCAAACAAAAATGAGCTTTTAGCTCTGAGTGATAAAGTCAAGAACCACGTTCATTATATAACTTCAGACGAACAGATTATAACGGACTACCATGGATATTTAACACGAAGTGATGAAGTGAAGACGGAAGACCCCAATGAAAGAAGATATAAATACATTCGTGCTAAAGGTTATGACATACACTGTACTGTACAGTATGACACGGGTAAAGCACCAGAAGCATTTAGTTATAACGATGAAATTTATGCCTCTACTTTCTCTGTTAAAGGTGTATTAGTTGAACCAAGATTTACTTTGAGAGTTAAGTCAAAAATAACGTTTGAAGATGCTATTAAAAGTAAAGCTGACAAAGTTGAACTCGAAGCAATGAACAAAGTTTTGAAATCTCATAAACACAACATCTCCGATATAAATGAACTTCAAGCTACATTAGACAGTAAAGCAGACAAAAACCATACACATAAATCCTTCACTACTGTTAGAGCAGACGACATAATATTGAACTATACCCTTGGTTCAAGTGCACCTTTAGAGAATCCAAGTACAAGCGTAAAAGATACACTAAACTCCTTAAATAGTAAATGTATGAACATTGAAGGTCATGTCAGAAACTTTGAAACACATGAACTACCAGCAATGTTAGATAAGAAAGCAGATAAGAACCATACACATGATTTCTTCACAACTGTTGGTATAGAAAGTATTGAAGGAACGGTTGAAGGAACTGGTGGGGAGGGCGGAGCCCCGCCGCACGGGGATGCATTATATTGGAAACCTCCTAACTTTCCACAAGGTTTAACATCGGAGGAAAACATAACGACGATGAAATACATTAGATGTAGAAATGTTTATGTCATGGAGGATGAAAATAATGTTAAATTCACTGCTCAAGATTTATATGATAAGAAAGCTGACAAAAACCATACACATAAATCCTTCACTACTGTTAGAGCAGACGACATAATATTGAACTATACCCTTGGTTCAAGTGCACCTTTAGAGAATCCAAGTACAAGCGTAAAAGATACACTAAACTCCTTAAATAGTAAATGTATGAACATTGAAGGTCATGCCAGAAACTTTGAAACACATGAACTACCAGCAATGTTAGACAGTAAAGCCGACAAAACTTATGTGGATACAGAACTAACAAAGAAATTTTCGAAACCAGATACAATGACATTTACAACAGAAATTATAAATGGTGAACCAGCAACTCCATTTGAATTTGTTAGAGGTCTTCAACCAGATACTTTTGAATTTTTCTTGGATAATTCTATTGAACTAACATTACATTATAAAAGTGGAACAAATGCAACATTTCATCCGGGAGATACATTCCAAATGGTATTTAATGACATAAGTTCTTTAGAATATGTTTATAGAGTTATGAGCATATATGATTTAATATATCCTATAGGAGCTGTTTATACGTCTATGAATCCAATAAATCCAAACACTTTATTTGGTGGTAGATGGTATGAAATAGTTGACAGTTTTCCATTCTACACTAATACGCAGTCAATGAAGATGGGAGGTTCAAAGAAAATAGGTATTGAAAACCTTCCTTCACATATGCATAGGTTCAGTGGAAGAACATCTGTGGAAGGAAACCATTCACATTCAATAACAAAAAGAGGTTATATAAATCTTGCAGCGGGTTCGAATAGACAGGGAATGAACAGATATGATATCACAACTGACCCCAAAGATGTTAGCACAGGTATTTTCTGTGGAACTGCAGGAAATCATACACATGTTGTAGCTGGTATTACAGACCCAGCAGGTAATGGAAAAGATTATATGCCTCCTTATATAACAATGCACGCTTGGATACGAGTTGGTTAAAATCTTTATTTTTACATAAATGAGCTTGAAAGAAGTATTCGAACAACATCCATGGAGGTCATTTAAGAAGTTCAATGAAGCTGCAAAGAGTTGGGGATTTACTAACAGAGCTGAAGTGAAAAGGTTCTTTGACAAAAATGTTGTACATCAAACAAAAATAAATCCTTACGACTACTTTTTACCAATTTACTCCAACACTCCTGACGCATACCAATTTGACACTCTCGTTCAGAGTAAGAAAGGAGGACATAAACCATTCCTCATCTTCATTAATGTTAACACTCGCAAAGCTTTTGCGTATATAATGAAAAATAAAGGAACTCGTGAAGTGTTAAGAGTTTTACAAAAGTTTGTAGCAGAACATAGCCCAAGTATTTTAACATCAGACCAAGACGGTGCATACCTCAGCAACGAAATCACAGAATTTCTCATTAAGCATAACATAACTCACTACACTACTGAAGACCATAACCATAACATACTCGGTATCATTAACCGCTTCATAAGAACGCTCAGAGATTTAAATCAAGAGCGAGACTTTACCGAAGAAACAATGAAACATTTCATCGAAGTTTACAATTCCTCAACACATTCTACAACAGGACATACACCAAATTCAATGACACAACAACAAGAAGAAAAGTATATACAAAAGAAACGAAGTCAAACACAAAATATCAGAAATTCAACACAATTTACTCTCATTCCTGGAACAAAAGTTCGTGTAGTTCTTGACGACAAACCGTTGACAAAGAAACGTTTAAGGTTAAGTCGAAATTATTATATCGTAGACTCTACGCAAGGTAATGGATATCTTATAAAAGCTGCTGACGACTCCATAGCATTTTACCCTCGTCATAAATTAGTCGAAAGTAGTAATGGCAAACTTGCTGAAACCATTGACGAAGCAAAGCGAGGAGTGGTTATTGAAATACTTGACTACAACATAAACGATGACACTTATAAAGTAAGATATGAAGGAGGCGTTGAAGATGTTATACCATCTAAGAACTTGAGAGAATCTAAACCAACTCATCTGGGACCATTAGAGCGGGAGTACTGGAAAGATAAAAACATGCCAGAAAGAATAAGAAAATTCTTCTAAACTTTTTCGTTGGATGTAAATCAGACATGAATGAGAACAGTCATGATATCATTAATGGTACCATTTATTTTTGTCATAAATTTACACCAAAAATAATGTTTAGGTGAAGAGGTGAGATCTCACCTGTTTTTTCACCTAAATTATATTTTTGTTCAAAGCTTCCACGAGAGAAAAGATTCCTCATTCGCTAAGGATTCCAAAAATGAAAAAATCATTGATTTCGGCTGAGAAAAAACAGCAAAACCCTTCTTCCACGGGAACAAAGAAATAAAGAAGAAATAAAGAAGAAATAAAGTAAATTTTTTATTTATTCCCGTGGAAGATAGAGCACTTTTATGACACTTTTTATTCACGACAAACAAGACAAACAAAGAAAATAAGAAAATACGGCGCTGTCGCGGTTCGAACCACAGACTCTGACCCCTCCATAACACCACCTTAGACCACTGTGCTACGTAGCCTGTCGACATAAGATTTTATAAATTGCATATTTGACGTAAATTTATTTCCATCTAGCTTCCCACCGCATAAGATATTCATACGTGTTTGTAAGACATTCATTAAACTTCTTTTCTATTGCATCTAATCTTGCGTTATTTTTTTCAATAACTTGTCTGTATTCTTCATCATCTCCAGCAGTGTTTGGGTCTTCACGTTTAAAATATTCATTGTTAACCAATTTTTTATCTACAAATTTTATTAGTGTTTGATTCACTTCGTTATGATAACGGTCATATTCTTTCAATACGTAAGTGAAGACAAAATGCGTCGTACCTTCAATCTTAAAGCTTAAAGAACTTTCAACACAGTTTTGAGGGTCTGTCAGTGCGTCAATGAGATAGTATTCGAAGTCAGTCAATAATCTTTTTAAAGTCATTTCATACAGGATAAAATTTAATGTTGTGAAGAAATAGTGTTTATCTCAGAAAAAATAACGCTAATTTTTTTCTAACAAATTTTTTTATTTTGTATGTAAAGACAGTAATGTCAACATTAGAGAACACAACAATTGCTATCGTTCATGAAGCCATAAATGAAGAATACGAGTACATACAGTATAACAAACAGTTACGTCTCATTCGTTCAGTCAAAGATGACATGTACCAAATGCAAAGTATAATGAATGCTCTTCTTTCTACAAAGCAAGCATATCATTGGTTTGAAAACCAACAGACAAAAGAACTTTTAGAAGAATTTCCTCATATGATTGCTTCCCTCGGAAAACCGAGAGAAGAGATTCTGTACGAAAATCGCAAGAATTTGGCTCCTGGTTTGAAAGGTTATTATGTTCATAGACTTTTAGTAAATGCTGTAGCAATGTGGGCTTCACCTCGTTATGCTTGTTATATTTTCATGATGTTAGATGAACTATATAAAGCAGAACGTGGAGAGATGGAAAAGAAACTTCATGCAAAAGATGAAGTCATTGAATCCAAAGACAAAAGCATACAGAAAAGAATACCGCGTTCAGTACCAAAAGGAAAGGAAAAGAGCTATAAGTATATGATTTACACTGAAGAGATGGAAAATGAAGAAGATAAAGATATGGTTATGTTGCATTTAGTCAGAAGAAACAACAAGAGCTTTTATGACT